GGGGTTGAAATCTGGGTAGGAAGGCCAGAGTTTGATATTTTGGGGGTTGAAATCTGGGTAGGATGATTGGATCCTTCTCCTTTCTCCATACCAAGATTGGAGACACCGATCTGGGATGTCAAACTGCACGATGGAGCCTTAAGTAAGACGAACTTCAGGCCAGATGCCCAGGAGAGGTGTTAAATTTTGGTTCAAGCCCACACCGGCAGCAGCAGAAGGAAGTGAGCGATTCATCCTTCCCAAAACTCAACTTTTAGAAGAAATTAGGGAAGGAATCCTGCTTCCATGCTGAACCTTTCTGTATTTTCACCCCAGGGCAGGGAAAGGGGGATTGCAAGAGATTGGAGACCGCACCACCATGGCCTCCGCTGCTTCTAGAGCAAAGGAAAAGGGAGAGGGGGGCTCCCACCACCCTGTCCCAGAGCATCGGATGGACGATGGAGGTGGAGGTGGAGCGTGGCCAGAGCGAGGACGGCTTGGAGATACGGAGGTCATCGGCCACCGAAACCACCTCAGGAAAGGGAATTTCCACACAAAGCTCCACTTGGAGCACCTGGCAGAGAAGCTGAAGCTTTTGGGGCTGGACGGAGACAAAGGGGAGAAGGAGAAGCTCTGCTCGTGGCGCAAGAGGACGTTCCTCTCCAATGGACCTCGGGATGATGGAGGTCCCACTGGAGCCCCCATAAAGGAGTCGGTGCAGGAGGACGGGGTCAGCCCTGTGTTATCCCCTAAAGTCCTGTTTTATCCTCCATGTCCACACTGCAGACTTCTTCTCTGCAAAACCTAACGCATTGCATCTCTTCCCTTCTTTCTCCCCCCACAATGTCCTCCCCAAACTCCTTTTTCTTCCTCCAGGAGCAGATTTGCAGCCATTTGGAGAACCTCAAGAAACAAAGGAAGGAGCTCTTAGAACTCAAAACGAGCGGAGAGAGGCAATGCCAAGACTTTCTGGTAAGAAGCTGTTGCCTTCAAGCTGGAAAAACAGACATTTTGGGGGGATCCATGTTGTTGCTTTTCCACATCCTACAGACACGGACGGAGGCTGAGAGGCAGAAAATTGCATCAGAGTTCCGTCAGCTCCGCCGTTTTCTGAAGGAGAAGGAAGTGATGCTTCTGGCACGGCTGGGAGAGCTGGACAGGGCTGTGCTGAGGAGGCAGGAGGAGGAGGAGGCCAAGGTGCAGGGGGACATTTCTCTCCTAAGCATCCTCATTTGTGAGATGGAGGAGAAACTCAAGCGACCCACGCGTGGATTCCTACAGGTTGGATTCCTAAGGGTTGGATGCTCCATTGGATCCTCTCCCTTCTTGTCCAGCCTTCTCCAAAGCTGGGGGAGACTGAACCATTTTTTTCCCCCCATCTCTTTCAATTCCAGGATGCCAGAAGCACGCTGAACAGGTTTGTGCTCCTTCAACCTCATGCAGTGGGGTGGGAAGGGCTCCCCATCACCACCCCCATGGATTCTAGCACAGAAATGAGAAAAGTGTGTGATTCGGGCAAGGCTGGAAGTCCCATGGGGAACAAAAAGTCCCCCTGGATCCCAGTGTAGGAATGGGCCAAGAAAAAGACCTCATGGCCATTGGGGTGACCAAGAAAAAGACCTCATGGCCATTGGGGTGACCCAAGGAGCTGCATTCTGTATGGAGCTGGTTGGCATCCCCAAACCTGTAACAAACGAACATTTTGGGGTCAACCATTTCATCTGCCATCCCCACATCGCCAGAGGTCCCCACATCTCAACCTGACCACCAGTGCCAGCACTGATGAGGTTTGTGTCCAGGTGGGAGATGGGCAGAACTCAAAGGACGACAGAGAGCTTTGCAGATGTGGAACGGAGGCTCCGTGTCATCTCCCAGCAAAATAAAATCCTCAAGGAGACGCTGGGGAGATTCCAAGGTATTGTGGACCACAGTATTCCTACCACGTAGAAGTTGCTCTGTACTAAAGTTTGGGTTTTGTTGTTTGTAATAGGAGTTGTATTGTTGGAAACAATTTGCATCAACTCGCGCTACCAATCATTTTTAGGCCTAAGAGCATCTGTCTTTTAGGACAAAATCCCACAGACCCCATATAAAATCCTGCACAGATATCCACAAAAAACACGGTGGGAACCGAAGCAAGCAGATGTGGGACATGACATCCAACCTTCTGTTCATCCCCAGATCTTTTACCATCTGAGCTGGAGAAGGAGGAAGGAGCATCCGTAGGAGAAGAGGGAGAGGGTGAGTCCTTACAGAAAGCATTTTCCTTTTGCTCCGTTGGTCATTTTTTAGCCAAAATGCTGCTTCAGAGCACCTGGAAAATGATGGTTTTGAGTTTCCTAAAGATATAAAGGAGTTTCCCATGTTTCAGCTAAGGTTTTCCGAGCTGGAACGTCGCCGATCCCAAAACAGATCTGGGGTGCTGCTCCAGTTTTAGGGTGATGCTCACCCCTTTCTTCTCCATCCCCAACAGCATTTGTCACCCTGGATCCCAGCACTGCCACTGCGGGTCTTGTCCTGTCCCGGGACCGACGTGGGGTGAGATGGATGGACACAGGGCACAACGTGTCCCCTTGTCCCCAACGCTTCGATGTCTCCTGCTGTGTGCTGGGCTGTCGGGGCTTCACCTCAGGGAGGCACTTTTGGGATGTGGAGGTGATGGGTGGTGGCACGTGGGCACTCGGGGTGGCACGCAGCTCCGTGCCCAGGAAGGGTTGGCTCGCTTTCCATCCCGATTATGGGATTTGGGCCGTGGGATGCTGTAGAAACCGCTTCCGAGCTTTCACATCTCCCCCAACCGCCCTCCCCCTGGGTGGGAATCCCAACAGGATTCGAGTGGTGTTGGATTATGGAGGGGGACGGGTGGCTTTCTACCTCGCTGCCCAAAAAAATCCCGTATTTGCTTTCCAAAATGCTTCTTTTTGCGGGGAGAGCATCTTCCCCTTCTTCTGGGTGGGCAGAGAATCCCACCTCCACCTCTGCCCCTGAGAGAAGGAAAAGGGAGGTCTGAAATTTTGGGGTGAGCATCGCCGTCAGCTCACCTGCAGTACAATGGGATCTTCCAGGCTTTGGGCTCTGTGCTCGTCGTGCCATTATTTTCATGGCATCCTAAAATGGTGCTGCATTATTTTTATGACACTGTAAGAGGATGGAGCAGAAGATTTGTCACAAATTAGCAAGGAAAAAAAAATCAGCAAAGGAAAACATGGAATTTTCTTGCTGTGTTTAATGGGATCCAGGGTTGGGGGAAGGACCATGGCTCTGGGTGCTGTGGGATCACTTCTCTTTGTTCACTGGGAACTTGGGGTGGCATAGAGGGGACAGAGGGGGGCTGTAGGGTGACAACATGGGGCAGATTTGGGTCTCCCCATCCCATACTTGGGATTCAGATGCCCTTTTTTTGGGCTCCTTTAGGTCTCCCTACCCCTTTTTTGGGGGGCAGAAACCCTTCCTGCGCCTCTTTTTGGGGTCTCCCATCCCTTGCAACGTGTGGTGGAAGTAAAAAAGAGACAGAAATTCTGCCCAAACCCGCAGGTTTTATGGAATAACCAAAGCGAAAGTGAAACCCAGCCGGGGCCGGGCTGCAGCCCGTGAGCATTTCTCCCCATTTCTCCAACCTCCCACAGCTTACAGCGACCAGCAGCGCTTTCAGAGCGTCTCCTGGGGGCTGGTGGTGCAACATCACAGCACGGAGCGGCTGGGAGAGGTGGCAATTCCCTTTTCCAGCTGCGCTTCCCTGCGGGAAGCCCCAAAAGAACCTTTCTGGCAGCGGTGGGATTCGAACCCACGCCCCCGAAGAGACTGGAGCCTTAATCCAGCGCCTTAGACCGCTCGGCCACGCTACCCAGCTGGAAACCCCCAAATTCTCGATGGAAAATGAGAACAACAAAAAAAGAAGTTAAAAAAATAATAATAAAAAAGGGGATTTCTGTTAAATTCACACCGGGGCGGCTTTGGTGCGTTCTGCCCAAAGCGCTGCGCTTTGTTTTGCTCACCTTGCAAAGGCAAGGGGACACACACCAACCCCCCCATTGGGGGGGGAGGTCCATCCCAGCCCCTATGGGAGGTGGGGAGGGGGCTGGGGGGGGCAAAGCACGACGCGCTCCCCAACCCCAGCGGGGAGCAGCGCGGTGTAAACGCGGCCTCGGGTCCGGTGGGCGTTGATATCAAAGGGCGTTGATGTTTCCAACCCCTCTCCTTGGCCTCGCCCCCATTGGGGGCGGGACGGTGGGCGGTGTAAGGAGCTGGGGCCATTTTAGGCTCCGACCTCGTTCGGCTCCGCCCGTCGGGGCCGTGAGCTGCTGTTGGGGGAATGGGGCGGAATGAGGAGTGCACGCGGCTGCAGCACCAGGAGGAGCCTTTGGGGCCGTTGTTTCTTCGGGCATCCGGTGTGAGTGATGGGGGTCGTTGTGGAGGAGAGACCCCCCTGCTGTGGGGCTCGCGGGGTCAGTTCTAAAACGCAGAGCTGTTCTCATAGCACTGCGATGCAGTGCAAAGGGCTGTCGTTGGTGCTCTTCCCATAAGAAGGGTTTGCATGGATTTTTAAAGTTATTATCATTACTCTAATTGTGTTTTTTAAGTATTCTTTCTCGCTTTTGTGTATTTTTTGTCCATTACTGTGTTTTCTTCCTGTAGGGAGCCTTGTTCTGCTGGGAAAGCCACGCATGGTGAGGAGGGTCGGCTTGTTACCCCATAGAGCCCACGTTGCTTTGGTGCCAGGATGAAGGCTCAGCCTGTTCTGTGGATCCAAACCCCCAATAACTGACAGCAGTCAATGATTGAGTACCATACAGGTATCCTTTATTATTTTACAAAAGAGAACGGTGTTAACACCCAAAGCAGTTCT